AAAAAAAGGACTATAATATTAATCTACAGTTTTGCATTTTTTCCATTTGAAATAAAGAAAACTAGTGAGATCACCTTCTCTACTCCTTTTCGTGCATTTCTCAAATTCTTTGCATTGCTGTGATTTAGAAAAGAGCATTTCCCTTTTTTAACTTTTCCTTTTCCCAAAATCGCTGTCAGAAGCCCAAAAAATAAGTAAACTGAACCCCAAACTAAACTGATTAATCTATCTATGGGAAAGAGGTTTAAAATCTATGACACAAAACTACAAAACAAATTTTCATATTTCTAAATGAAAGAAATTTGTAAAATTTATAAATGATAGTCATATGCTAGCCTTTTCTTATAGGTTGCACAGTGTCTTCTAGTAGTAGCGCCCACGCCAGGGACTGCTTCTCCGAACCTCATTACGGGAGGGCAAGCTAAGTCATCACAAGTAAGTCGGGAATTTTTACAATTCGCCTGTTCAGTCAAAACTTCAAGTAAACAGCAAAAGAACGAAAACATAATTTTTTTGATGAAACGAAATGAAAGAAAACATGTATAAGAAGATAAAAAGTTTGATTCAGGCACCAACACCTGTATTTCCTGGCTTTGGTCAACCTGATTCTACCTTCCCACGTAAGATTTTCAGTCTCATAGGATCATCATATGAAGAAAACGATTAGAACAACTGTGCAGAACCCATTCCAACAACGACAACAACATCCACAACATCAGCGGATCCCCTAGCTCCGCTGCTGAATCTATTTGGTACAGCACCAGGAGGAGGCCCAGCTCTTACATTGCCAACGTTGCCACCTCCACCCACTACAACAACCACACCTCCAGTGAACATTTGCAGCCTTCCGCCTCTCACTGGCAATTGCAGTCGAGCAAGAATCATGTGGTAAGATGAGAGAAAAAGATGAAAAATTGATAGGGATTAATGAGAGATTTTCCTACTGTGAACGAAAGTAGAATATTTTAAAATTCAGTAAAAAAAAACCAGCTTGTTTTAGGTACTACGATACCGAAACGGGCAGATGCGAACGTTTCAGTTTCAGTGGTTGTGGAAATCTCAATAGATTCCCAAGCAAGATGCAATGTGAAATGGCATGCGTCAGACGCGGATAGCGAAAGAAAAGAGAGGAACTGCAAAAAATGCTTCGCAATTATGGGGTGTGTGCAAGATTTCTAATAAAATTATGCAACTTACTTGTGATATGTCTCAATAAGGACGCTGCCGACGGCACTTAGAAGGGAACCTGCTCGTAGGACGTCCTCATAGTCGCTGTTCTAAAGAAAAGAAGCATATTAATTGGAGCGGTAATGCAACCCCCCTCCCCAATGTTTTAACTGCGAAACTAGATGAAAACGCAGGAAAAAGATAGAAAAGAATAAGTTAAGAACCCACACCTAGAAACAATCAGTTTCTGAATAAGTAAACATTTCCCTCATAGCCTTTCAAAAAATCGACTGAAAAATGTCGGAATTGCAGGTAAGCTTACCGGGTTCACAGAAATCAGATGATTGGTGCGCATAACGTCTGTGAGGGCTGTTACGAGAGAGAGCTTCTTCGATGCTGGCATACCTTTCTGGATCAAAGCAGAGACAGCTCTTACAGCAGCCTATAATCAATTGCTTAGCTAACAGTATTCAAAGCGC